TGCACTGCCTAAGCACTTAATTTATGCCAAATGGCATCGATTCTGCTTTCTATCTTTACTTGCGCATGAATGTACTGCGCACACCCGGTACTCGCACTACTTTTATTTCCTAATCTTCTGTATTGGAATATAATATTGGGGTTGTCTGACCCCTTAATGATGCAACGGTTTCTCTGAAAAATGTGTAGAATATAAAACATGTAATGACAAAGGAGTATGGAGAAGACGATACAACTTCGAACTTTATAGAATATACCAGGAACCTGATATCTTACAAAGTATTAAGATAGGACGCCAGAGGTGGATAGGGCATGTAATGCGGATGGAATAAAATGACCCAGCTAGAAAAACGCTCCTTGATAGACCCATTGGTTCCTTGATAACATAAATGAAGACATGAGAAATATGGAAATACGTGCTTGGCGGAGGAAGGAGATGGATAGAGACGACTGAAGGAAAATACTTGAAAATAGAGCTTCGAGTTATATACGTCAATGGATTTCAAATGACACAAAGAATAATGTTTACATAATTTTTTTAATCTACTTTTTAGGTTTTTTTTTTCGATAATTATGAACAAAAAATCTCATAAAGTTGATATGTTATAAACAAATTAAAATTGAAAAAAATAAATGAAATATGACAATCTTCTAGGCTGAAAAACACAAGCAAGAACTATTGTTTTATAATAACGGACATAACGTACTTCGACGAACTATTGTAGCACCTTGTATATACAATAAATACATACAGTATTGGAAGATTCAAAACGGAACATACGAATTATTAATACAATTATTAAGATCCCCTGACGTGCAATTACCCAGTGTAAATTTCAATATAATTATTAATTATTATTTAATTATCAATATAAATTAATTCATTTGTTCGACTGGATTGCTACTCCTTGGCGATTTCAGAGAACTACGAACGCACGATTTCTATACTACGTTCCACGTTTAGAAAATAAACATTGCGGAGATAGGGCCCTGTATTTCTTATGGACGATAGCAACGCGGCGTTGCCACGACACACACAAGCACAATTTAGGGTTGTATAATTTGTATTTTTGTTTCCACAAATATGAATTAAATTAATGTTTTTTAACGTAATTGACCAAAAGTGCCCATTCGAAACAAGAGATGAAAAGTAGGGAAAATGATTTTAATTAGATAAATAGTATTTACAAAAGATAATTTTATTTTATCTTATTTTAATTATAGTAACGACAGTTTATTTGTTTTTCGGTGAGAATACGATATGCCATGAATCATACAAATCAGTAGAAAATATTGACTGCTTGGAATGCATATATCTAATTACTAATTGCAACTTAAAATAATACGATGTGTGTATGTCAGCTATTTTATGTCGTTCTCTGACTACATAATGATAATAAGGCTTTTATTTACTAGTTATTCTGACTTTACAGTTAAATGTTAATTGAAAATGAAAATTCAAAAATTAAGCTTTTGCAATTGGATGTCCAAGATATTCCAAGGGAATATCTTGCGACATCCGTGCAAAAGAGAGTGTTCTGAGAGTTTTGGCAACACTGATCTCCATAAGCGTAATGTTATTTTCTTAACTTGAAACAAAGAATAGTAGCGTATTCGACAGGTGTACGTTGACACTGTTGTCTATCGTCCACTGATTTTCTGTGTTTTTGTGCAGATAATAACAATGTTTTATTAATAACAATTTTTTTGTGTTCATTAGATATTATTTGAATTGGTTAGTGTATAGTTTAATATATTTATTATTCCAAATATTGTTGATAATTTAAAAGGATGTATATGATACATCAAAATCTACAGATTTTTGCGAAGGTATCTATTGATTTGGCAACAGTCCCAAGGAACATCACTGGCCGAGCAAAACAAATACATGCCCTTTGCTTTGCTTCTCATTATAACGCCATAAGCTGAAATAAAAGTAGTGTTTCTAACCATAAACCATATATACAAACAAAGAAAAAGTACAAATTTTAAAATGGTATTATGGGGGCAACTCGTACCGTGATATTATAAATTTATTTACTTGTGCGTATGAAGATAGGCCAATACTGACACAATCAACTATTAGTCGTATTATTAAGGTGCGCACGTGCGCAGCGACGACCAGCATCGACTGGAGAAGGAGTCCAGTCGAACAAATGAATTAATTATAAGACATCGCGACGTTATATTGAAATTTACACTGGGTAATTGCAGGTCAGGGGATCTTAATAATTGTATTAATAATTCGTATGTTCCGTTTTGAATCTTCCAATACTGTATATTATTGTACTTATATGATCGTAGACCTAAAAAACACAATGCGAGAATATGCTCAGAATATCGATTAATTAGCCTAATGAGCCACACTCTTAAAATTTTCCTAAGAATACTTCACAAGAGAATTAGACGCAAATGCGAAGATCTCTAAGATGCCCAATTTTATTTTAGAAATGCTATGGGAACTAGGGAGGCACTTTTTTAACATCATATTACAAAAATATGGAATAGATGACAAGGATATTAGTATCATTAAAAATTTGTACTGGAATCAAACTGCTATCGTAAAAATTGGAGATAACTACACCGATGAAATCTCCATACAAAGAGAAGTCAGACAAGGTTGCATTTTGTCGCCAACATTGTTCAATGTTTACTCGGAGTTCTTTAAAAAAGCACTTAAGAGACAACCATATGGAATCAAAATCAACGGGGAACTACTTAATATGATTAGATATGCAGACGATACAGTAATTATGTCAGATAATATTAAAGATCTCCAAATTCTGCTTGATCGTATTCACGAGGTAGGAGAGGAAATGGGCATTAAAATAAAACTCAAACAAAACCAAATTTTTCATGTTTAGTCGTGACCCACATCCTGATTCAAAGCTTCAATTAAACGGAGTCCAAGTTAAGAAAGTTCACAAAATGACATATTTGGAACTGTGATAACGGACCAACTAGATAAAGACATAGAAATAAAACGTAGAATAGCAATGACTAAAACTACTTTTATGAAAATGAAGTCATTTCTTTGCAATAATAATCTCAGATTAGAACTAAGTCAAAGAATGGTTAAGTGCTATGTTTGGTCTGTACTTTTGTATAGTGCAGAAGTGTGCACAGCAAGGAAAACTAATGAAGAAGTACTAAGGAGCGTCAACAAAGATAGAGAACTGCTGAAGACTGTTAAACACTGAAAAATGTCTTATCTGGGACATATAGTAAGGGGAAGTCGATATAAAACGTTACAACTGATCCTTAAAGGAAAAATAGAGGGCCGTAGAGGTGTAGGAATGAAATGGGTTTCTTGGTTCAGGAACAATCGTGAATGGACTCAGATATCAAATCCGTGATAATTATTTCATATTGCAGAAGATCGAGAAGCCTTCGCAATGGTGATCGCCAACGTAGGATAATTCTGATATGGCACGCGAAGAAGAATGGCTCAAAATGCGATGTAGCGTCCTATGTTGGGCATTTCAATACGAGAGAAGATCCCAAACCGCCAGCTACGACGATCAGAAGTGGCTAATCATATAAAAAGAATAGTAACACTGAAGTGGAACTGGGCAAGTCACGTGGCCCGAATGACAGCTAACAGAAGACAAAACAGAACAAGACATGATGCCTACCGAGCAGAAGTCGTCCACCAACACGTTGGACTAACAATTTAAAACGTTAACGTAGGAATTGGATGCAAGAGGCACATGATCGAAACAGATAGAAAATTATGAGGTAGATGTATGTCCAGCAGTGGACAAGCGAAGATTGAATGATCCAGTTTTGAATTTTCAAGATTTTGGTTAGGTGGTAGATCAACTATTAGGCGGTCAGTAAGGAATAAACAAAAGATAATAGATTTACTTACCGTTTAATAAAATGTATTCCTCTCCTACTCTTCTTTTTAAAAGGCATATTGTCCTAACACTAAAATTAATGGTAATATTAATACAAAAATTACCACTAATACGTTATGCAAGGAACACTATTGTTTATAAATACTAAAATAATTAACTAAAAACGGCTAAATAGGTTTTTATAAACTAAATAGGTGTTTTATAGATATATTACTTGTAGCATGGCTCCAAGTTTCAGCATGGTCAGTTCAAAGTTCAAACCCAACATTCTTATTAAATTTTGTTGTAATCTGCCACAGTATTGTACAAAGTAATTAATATGGCAACCCTGTTAGTATAAGGTTTCGTTTGAAGCATTTCAAAGCCGAAAGTAATGCTATCTATCTCTCTACAGCACAATTTGGTGGCGGTAGTTCAAGACATAATTCTTGTTTATCGAGATTTTTCATATGTTTAGGAACAAATTTTCAACATTTTATTGCAAATATTTTTCATTTTTACAGTTTTAGTTTTATAGAGGATGTTATTGAAATTTTGTAATGTTTTTTACCGGTAAGCTTTATTATAAGCCGAAACATATTATTTTTTTCTACTGTGGCAAACATTGTACATTTAAAAAATTCATAAGTATTTCTTAGGATTATATCTTTATGCTGTGAGAAAATTAACAAAATTGTATGTTTGGTTTTCCCGCTTTATGCTTGGAAAAAAGTAGTTTTTTGAGTTTTCTCGAAAACGAAAACATGAAGTTTGCTCAAAATTTTTCAAAATACTTTTACTGATCACACATAGCTTCTTAAAATTTTTTAAATTTTTTGAATGTGTAGTTTGTCTTTTGAGAGGTGCAGATCAACCAGATCAACCTTAACCGAAATAGGATTTGGGAAATAGTGAATGACAATGGCCATTCTTTGCATCCTCCAAAGGCAATAAAAAATTTGCACCACTGGACAAAAATAGTAAACACTGGTGAGAAAAGGACAGAACAAATCGAAATCAATCAAGGAGTGAGACTGTAGTGAGGGAGCTACAGTCTTTCCCTACCCTTAAATAGACGAAAGAAATTCCCAAAAATGAGCAAGAATCTGTGTAAAAATTGCCTACGTCAGCATGTCACTTCATTTTTGAGTAAACTACTTACTGGATTGTTTTATATAAGTCTCTTATTTTCTGGTGAATAGGATGAGATCTGACTTTGAGAAGATCTAAAGCTCTTTGCTGCAATTCTGTTTTTCTTCCCGATTTGTTTCTTCCGGCAAAACCTAATAACATCTGCAATTCCGACACACGGAAGGTTGCTAGCATAGTCTGAAAAAAAAATTAAATTTTACAAATTATGTGCAAAACGTATCGATCAAATTTTAGTAATGAGTGGTTCAATTATAAAAACATCTCATGTTTGTTAACTATATCTCCATTGTATTATCTATATTTTTTATAATTTTGAATTCATATTATTTGAATTTAGTTGCTTAATGCTAAATAACTAAGCCACTTAAATATTTTGGAGTATCAAAATATAGAAAAAAAGAGATAATACATACAGGGTGCGGTACGAAAAACGAAACAGATCCAATATCTTTCGTCGTTAGGAATGAAATATCTCCAATGTAAAAATATCCTAATTTTACAGGAGACACAAAAAACAGTTAAATAACGCTATTTTATATTGTATTAAATTTGTAATTGATTTTTTTGGCCAAACTAAGATTGATATTGATATTAAGGTGAAATTGATTCCTTAAATCAGTACAAAACATTAAACTAATAAAAAAAATATTACAAACGCGCACATTGGAGAAATTATAAATGATTGGAACCGGTACATGGCAGGAATTTCAAATATTGTGTATGGCATGTCATAATACTATACACCTTGAATTTGGTGTTATTAGGGGAAAAAGAGTTATATAAACAGTAAAGTGATTTGTATTATCTTTATTTTAAATAAACAAACTTCGACATGTAGTATCAGTGTATGATATTTTTACGAACACCACCGAAAGTATTATTTTTTGTTGATTTTAGGAAGAGTATCGTAAAAGTGATGATGATCTTTTTCAATAACTGATTTGAGGTCTTGCAGATGTTTGAACTTGTCTTCTGATATTTCAGGAGGTGTCTTGAAGAGCGAGTTTTCATAAACCGACAGGTCTTGGCTTTCTCTTCTGTGTGGTAGTAGCTTCCAGTTATCTGAGTAATCAGTGGTGTAGTATACCTCTCCATTGGGACTATATTTTTAATTGTCTTATATCTACAACTTGCGGATCTTTTTCGGGCATTTTTTTCCAGGTCTTATTGATCGAAAGTTACTGTCAATAGCGTACTTTTTAAAGAACGTAAAATCTACGTTTTTAATATTATACGGATGTTTTGGCCGAGCAAGACGCATTCTAGCAATGTAATCCATCGGTGAATTAATTGGAGTCTGAAGTAATGTTCCAAAGTTAAATGAACTGAATCTGCTTCCATCATAGTATGGCCTTTTTCAAGATATAACTGCTGTATTGTAAGGGATTTTGCTCTTGCTGAATCACTTAAAGCACTAGCCAGAGTTCTTTTTCGATTTTGGTAGTTGCATCCATCTGAGATGAATACAAGAGTTTGATAGTTAGTAGAAATATTATTTATATAATCTATAAGACTAAGATGTAAATTCATTGCTACTGACTCCACCACTTGCTTCATGCCAAACGTACAACTGGACATCTTCATCATTTAGAGAATAAATGGTGAAGTTGTGTACTTGGAGTTTGAGCTTATAATACGATTGGGAAGCTAATACTTTTGGACACGTTAAGAAACTTTGAAGATCAACTGTGAGAACCAATTTTTCAGAATTTGCGCTACTTTTTAATAACTGTTTTGCCCGTCTTTATTCTTTCTGCTTTGACATGTGCTGATCATAATCTTCAGTACTTATTGTCTTCATTTTATGTGCAATATCACATTGATCTTTCCTTTGCTTATGTATGCGAATTTTCTCTGCTTCTAAAACAACTTTAAACAACTTGATATGAGCAACTGACTGCTTTCTATCATCGCACCATTCTTTATATAGTCTGTACATATAATTTGTTGTTATGATACTGTTGTCACCATATATTCTGCTAGTAGATGCTCTACAATAGTGTGAAAGGACTTTAGGAATATTTTGCAACCATTCCGTAACATTCTTTTCTTTGCAAATTTGTCTCATTTTTCTTGGAGTAATCTGTTGAATGTTGGAATCTTGTAGACTTTCACTAGAAGTATCAATTTCATGAGTGGCTGGCTTCTTGAGACCCATCGTTTCATTGTGTCTTCTCCTAAATTTAATGTGTTCAAAAAACATAACTCGGTATACCTTGAGGTAACTTCCGTCTTTAGAAACAAAAAAAGTCACGAGCACTCTTCTTTTTGGACCGTTTGTCTGAATTTTGAGTATCTTTTCGGCGCCTTTGCACTGCTCTTGTCCGAACAAGATTTTTTAACATAAGTGCTTCTATGTTCCCACGACGTTAATGTCCAAAATTTTTTTAAAAATTCGTAGTCTATCGTCCTGCGTAATTAAAGAACATCTAAATGAGTGTTCTTTTAAACATTTTGGCGTTATAATATGGTTACATCTCTCCTTTACTGACATGCCATTCCGTCTAGTAATATGTTGTACATCGCCAAAACACAAATTTTGCCTTTTTCCTATTCCAATATAGTAGCTGCAGGCAAACTGAAATAGGAAGAATAATTATTACCTACTTAATTTAAGCAATAATGAGATGAAACATATCTAACCGTAGTAGTGAATTTGTTTACATACCTGTTTTTGGATTTTTCATTATAAATTTCATTTTCAATAGGAGCAAAAGTTTGGATAGAATTTTGCCGATCTTCCTTAAGTGAATTTTGTACAACTATTTTAGTTCTTGTCTTGAAAACACTCATTTTGCACTGGTAAATAGCTTATTTGAGAAAAATTTGAGGATAGGAATTTGACAGATGAAAGTATGAAATACCTCCAATGTGCAGATATTATAATAGATAATAGCTCCAATGTGTTTTTTACGCACTTTGGATTTATTTCAGTCCAACAATTAATAACATGTTACATTGGAGTAATGCATTTTTAGACATTAGGGAAGTTAGGAATCGGTACGCACATTGGATGTTTTTCTAGACTGTAAAACTATTCATAGCGATTCAGAATCGTTTAAAATCTGAATTACCAGAAATTTGCACATTGGAGGTATTTCATTCCTAACGACGCTTTGCTGATATTGGATAAGTTTCGTTTCACAGCTTGTGAAATGCAAACGCATGCTGACTTTTATTCCCTGATGGTCATCTTTCTAACCTTGATACAATACCTATCTCGTGCCCGGTCGTCACTATCACATATCTCTCTGGTCATTCCCCAGTGAGTACGGTGATTTCATACACCATCCTCACTGGAGTAACGTCAATACAGTCAATCAGATATTTTCATTGGTCTCTATCTTCTGCTGCCCTAAGTGTTTCAAAGAATGAAAGGTCCGTTGAATGCCAGATCTGGTCATTCCAACAAGTCAGTGACTGTTCGGAGACAATAAGTATTTATAAATTATTTTTGTTCTTGCAGGCCACATGCCCTAAGAACTGACAAATTCTACAACGGAAATGAAATGCCGATTCTCCTACACACTCTCACGAATAGCGGCTATGTTTTCGGCAGATCTTGCATTTTGCCGATTGTCGGGAGTTGGTAGATTGTTTACTGAATCAGTAGACTCAAAATTATCCAGCGCACTGCGAATAGTACTCTCGGCAGGATAATTATGGCGCTTGTTTCTTTTATTCATGGTTTTTTAAAGAATTCGACCAATCCGAGCGTTAACTGATACCTGCGCATCAACTTCTCAAATTAATGATCTGAGATCCGAGTCATCCGCCCGACTGTGTGAATTCTTATTAGACCCGTATCGGCAAGCCGACTCGAGGCTGACGATTTACATGTAAAAATCAACGGAATATTAGCCGATACGCAACCAAAACATACATTTCTCTCCGTACGCATTTAAATGGTAGGTACTGTTGCGTAGGTATTTCTGGGTGGTCCTTCAAAGAAGTATACAAAGTGAACCTATTTCCCTAAGGAAAAACCTTGTTCCCCAAGGAAAAAAATCAGAGATCTATGACTGGTGCGCGAAACAAAGGCATCAGGGCAAGGTGTAATAACAAACACACCTGCATCTTCGCTCATAATCCTTCGAACCGGGTATCTTCACATTTCAACTTCGAATCCGAGATCTCCGCACGTCTCATCTTCAAGTTAGACGTCAACGCAGCAGCTTCAGAGGTCTTCCAATAGGACGCCTCCAGACTCCTTCATCCTGGTAGCTGATTTAACGCCTAGCATCACACTCACAACAAACTGTAAGTTTTTTAATTTTAGTAAAAATATTTAATATTTTTATTTAATTTTGTATTATATTATTATATCACACTGTATATTAGTTTAGATTTATTAAATTCCTTTGTACCATCTAATAATCTGTAAGGCGCCGATAGTTTGCATTCAAATAACTTTCTAGACACAAGCTTCTAAAACCTTCAAAGAATCTAACAATGAAAGGATTAGTAATTCCAAATTATCGGTATGAGTCATTCGAAATTTCCCAACATTAACGTCAGGTAATTTTACCAATAAAATTAAAGTCGAAGGTATTTGAAATGTAAACAAACATATCAGTTATATACGTCGAGGGTCAGGAGGGAGATTTCTGAATGTTAAGAAAATTACGAGCCGAGTGATGGAAGGAAGTGATCAGTCAGCGTTACCAGACCTAGGGAATTTTCCCTATACCTAGGGAATTTTGAGCCAGCTTAGGGAAAAAGGGATTTTTATTCAATTCTATGAAAAATCTAGGGAATTCTTAATATTTGTAAGAATATTTTAAAAAATCAGTTTTATTTAATAAACTTTCCGAAATTGCACATATTATATCATCTACTTGGAAATCATACTATTCGTGGAATCACTAAATTCTGTTTATGTGATTTCCCGTCGGAAACTAGAGTGGTGAAATTTCACGAACTGCGAATTACGTCGGGGATCCACCTGGACTAAAATATCTTAATACTTTATACTTTGATATTCTTACCTTCTTACCATAAATACAACTATAAAACACTTGTGCAGAAGGGGCAAAAATAATTATATTAAAAACATATGTGTACAACTAGAGGAACATGCTGACCGCCAAGAACCTAGAGAACTTTTTTCAAAAGTCAAGTATCTAGCGAGAGAATTCAAATCGCAAACATAGATCATCAAAGATAATAGTGGAAAT